TCCTCCTGGGCTTTTCCCAGCTGCAGGCCTGCTCCACCCCAGAGCCTCTCCACCTATACACCAGCTCCGTCTCTTCTCTGCCCTGGCAAGAGGCACTGGCTAGGAGGAGCATCATCCCTAGTTTGGTGGGTTCAGGATCAGAGGACCTAAAGGTGAAAGACTGTTACCTGAATCTTCAGCATCATTCCCCGCGTTATTACACTGTTTGCATGCATTGCTACAGCTTGGCTGAAGGATGAAATTCACACTATAAAGCCCACTATCGCAGAACAAGCAGGAGTGGAAGAGCAGTATCCTACTAGGCCCACAGTTATTTATTTCTAACAGCTATGTATGAATTCCTGGTGTGAAGTATTTGAATGTTTTGCATTTCTACTTTCTTAAAAGCACACAGCTAGGTTCAAACACGGGGACAGGCGCAGAGAGAAATGCTGATTTTTTAATCTAGAGAAAAATGCAATGAATTTATCTATATATGCAGAAATACCTAGGACTTTAAACATTTCTCAGTGTGGGAAACCTAACCACGATAGCATTTTTTCTACTCTCTGAAATGCCGGAGCTAGTCAAGTCTGTCTGTGTCCAGAACAAGAAAGGCATAAAGACATGAAATAATTTTCTGTATCAATAGCCAACTATTAAGCTATTTGAACACTCAAATGATGTAACTAAGCAACCTTCAGGTAAGTCACCTATGCTTAATGATTTTATTCAACATTTTTTGGACAGTGAATTTAAGGCAATGTTTTAGAACATATCAACCTACATATTACAGACCTTATTCAATCATAGCTGCAATTTTCCTACCTATTTTCTTGTACAGAATTATGACATGGATTATCATTGGAAGAACTACATAACTTCAATGAGTTTGCAACATTTTCAAAATGAAAAAAAAATTCAGCAAGCCTTGCAAGTACAGTACTTGTTACTTTGCAACTAACTAAGGAGGGTACAAAACATTTACATTTTAAATAAACAAATATATTCCTATAGCACTACTGAATTATTTTATTTTGCTAAGTATAGTAGATATACTGCCAGTTTTGTTTAAACAACAAATTAATTCTTATCCCACACCTTAGTACCTCAAGTTTCCTTGCAATTTTGGCCCAGTCTTCTGGCGTCATGTTGGAAGAATCAAGCAGTGGTGAGAGCTCCAGGATTGTGTAAAAAATTCTTTTGTTTTGCTTCGAGACACTATGAAGAAAGAGAATTGGGAAAAAAAAATCTTAGAGCTAATATCAGCTCATCATTTCTGATTTTTTCTCTAAATCAGTAGTTTTCACCCTTTTCCTCCCCATCCCCCAAGTCTATAGCAAAGAAAGGGCCTTAAATTTGGAACATTAAGTTCCAAGTTTAGAAATTCATGGCTTGATGTATTTTAAAGCACAAATCTATAAATTTAATTTAATAATAAATGTAATTTGGAAGGTGGAGAGGGGCTGGAAAAACTAAAGGCAGAAAAGAAGAACCCAGACTTACTTTGTTTAAGTTTGGAACTGAATTTTAACAAGACTCAATATGAAGCCTTAAGGTTTAAAAATGCTTCATAAGCTATTGAGAGGAATCTATAAAGCTCCCAAGGCTTATTAGGGGGTCAACAGAAGAGTTGCAACAACTTTTTGATCCTTTCATAATTATAAATAGACACCTTATAAACAGATACTCTTTCATGACACAAAGGGTATCTTTTCTTAAGAGTCTTATGACTGGGATTCATTATTAGAAGATCCACTCTTCTCAGTTTCTCTAACCTCAGATTTCAGAAAAAGCTCTCTTGGTTAGCCAAGATCTTCAAGTAAACTGTTGCCTTTTCTAGTAATAGGCTTTGTAAAACCCCAGTCCCAGCCTATTAGGCCCGTTGTCACCTTGTTATGAAAGTTTGCTATATGATACCAGCTGTCTCCTGTTATGATGTGGAGTTTAAGCATGTGATAATAGCAAAGATCTTAAAATACTGGCATAGGTTGAAAACAGAAGCCTCAAGACTATAAACAACTCACTGGCGATCAATTATTGGCCACTGAACAAGTACAGCCTTGACAGCTGGAAAAAGACTTCTCTAAGTACAATAAAAACAAGACAAAGCAACTATGCAAGGGAAGAAAAACCCAAAACAACCCAAAAATGAACAGTTGAGCAATAGGATAAAGTACCTGTGGGGCTGAGGAACATAACACTTTCAAACATCATGGAGTATGTAGTCCAGCAGATGGAGACCAAAGATTAAGAAGTGTCTAGACACTCAAACATCTTATAAAAATACATGATCCCAAATTTGGAGGGGGCTTATCAAAGGCGGTGATGGCTATGGAATCACAGTAGGATTGTCCTAGCTCTAAGCATGCTGTCTGCTCTCCCTGATTCCCAGGACCACAGGTCTCCCTTTTTCCACCACCTATCTCAAGAAATCTGACTCTTCAAAGACCTTTGACTTGCCAAATGGACTACATATAGAGCATGTGTTTTACCCCACAAAATATGCCCATTTCTCCACACTAACTTTCTAACCCCTCAGAGCAAAGTCAACTACATATATATACCACTTGGGTAGTTAAGATTTGGTGTAAAAAAAGAACCCTACTACCGTTATTTTCTGCTACCTTTCTGAAGCTTGGAAGAGGATAAAATATCCACTATTTTCACCCATTCTTAGGTTAGTTGGAATATGTTCCTATTTAGCAATGCAGTGGCCAACAAGCAGCTAACAAAGAACTTGCTAGCGGGCGAGGTCTGCCCTTCCTACTCCTTCTTCCAGTCAGAGTCATCCAAGAGCATGTTTAACAGGATCACCTTCAGAGTGTTCTCAATGCTTTTTCACTGCCTGAGGATGATGGAAAGCTCCCTGCCAGCTGTAACTGTAATAGATACTTAAACATTTACACTGGAAGACAGTCAAAGGCTATATAAAAGACCCAGATACCACATGGATGCATAGAAGTTCATGAAATTAAGAGCTTAGAGCACAGAAAAGTTGATTGTTTTCCCTTGGCACTCACAATAGTGTTTTGTTCTCACTTGCTATTCTTGTATATATTTATAGCAATACAAAATACACAAAAACAAGAGTCAATTGTCAATTCATCATCCAATAAAATCTGCAGACCCACTTGCCTATGAGGCCAGTAAGACAGTTGCATAGAGCAGAGACACCATTTAATTGTTCATAACCAACTGACATACCGTACCTAAGAAGTTAGAATTCATATGAAAAATTGGCTTGTTGGATGTCACATTTCAACATGCTAAAAGTAACTTTGGAAGTCAGTTGAAAATCTTTGAAAAGAAAGCTCCCCTGAGGTTGTGTTTTTTAAATAAAACACGATGTACTGACACCAGAGACCAGCCTAGTCTACAACTTTTGATGCCTCTCTCTAAAAAGAGATCATATTGTTCCTCTTCCATTGAGGTTATCACACAGATACACAAAGTTCACAAAATACTGCTATTTTCTCCCCTCCAAAACTCAGAATATTTCTCAACTGCCTAGTTAAAACATCACTCAGCTAGCACAAAAGAGAAAATGGCAAATTGCCATGACTAACCTCCAGAAACGGTATTCAGCAGTGCCAGAAAAACAAGACAAGATTGGTTTTTAAACTTCAGATTTTGATGTGAATGATTGTTTTTAGCTTTTCTGTTCTTCATGGAAAAGACATGCCAGGAGAAGTATATTTAGGACTCAAATCGGTATATTAGTGTAGTTATATTTCAAATCCCTTGAAGTATTTAAAAATTATTCAATTACAAGCACAATATCGCAACAGAGTTCAATTTTTCTTAGTATAACCATCGTATTTAACACAAACTGCATGTTCATATCAATGAACACTTGTTTCACTCCACCGGGAGTCCATTCCTTTTCCCTTTGCCCTTTTTCCTTCCATCTGCCTTTTAAGTGGTTACTTTTAAAAGCTTTACACAGAAACCTCAATACAAAATAGAAAGAAATTAATAAACCTTACATTTTCTTTGTATGTCCTGATTTTCTCCTTAAAGATTAAAGAATATCTGTTTTGACTCTTACAGCAAAACAGCTATAGTCCCATTTATTTTTGAATGACTGTTTAAAATCACCCTTTGTGCAAAGTTAACATGTTTTACAGGGGTACGGTCATTCATCACAGCTGGGGAATAACTCAAATTAGCATACTGCCCTCTAAATAAAACCTATAAGCTTATTAATCACTGCCCAACAGTTAAGAAGCAATGCAGATTAATTATAAGCCTGTCGCTTATTATCATAATGTTGCATAAATTTGGGAAAGACAATCAGCTTTTAGGGTTTTTTAAAAACAGGCAGCCTGCAGAATTAAAGCACGAGGCCTATTCATGGATGCGTTAATTAGATGCTACTTTTTCAGACATATGCCGAAGATAATTCACATAGACCTGTATATACAGTTTTCTTAGTTCCTATAGAATATTTGTATGTTTGCAGAGTAGCAAATTAATATTCAAAACAAGACAAAATGCAGGACTAAGATGCCCAGAATGGTTACTTGTTGCCTAATTTAGAAGTTATTTCTCAAGCGCTTTTAAGACACTTCACTGTAAATATATCAAACCAGACATTTTCTACCCTGCCAGGCATGGTAGCCTTTTTCCTTTTAAGACAATATAAGCATTTTTGCTAATCTCATAATGGATTGTTCACAATAAATGTCTGGAGATGTAATTACCTGAAAATTAACAAGATACTCCCTAACCCTCCCTCTCCCCAAGGAAAATGTACTTACGGGAGCACCAGTGTGTTTTCTGGAAATTCATGGGAGGTCTTCTCTCTTACTTCCTCGGCATATGCCTCATCATGCAGCATCGGCATCTTTTTCAAGCTGCTTACTAATTTATTGGCCTCAGGAGCAAGTCCTTTAAAAATAAAGAATAAAGGAAGTAAACAAAGGAGCAGGGATGGAAGGTAGCGAGTGGCACGGTATGGAGGGAAGAAGTCAAGTTACACAGCTGTTTGCCCATCCTTCCAAATTAAATTTAAACAGTCTTTTACCATTTTAAGAATGTGAAAACAGAATATAACTAATTAATCTCTGTGCAGTTAATTCTTTTCTTGACTTCAAATAGATAAATCCTTTATTTAAGAGAAATAACGTTACAAATCTCCTCCATATCAAATATTTATATTTTACCTATTTTTAATTGTTGCTTGTGTGCAAACATACAGCATTAGGGGCAGGAAGTCAATTTTTGCAACTGTAGCAAAAAGCTACCATTTGCTTTTACATTTACCATAACTATTCTCTATCTAGTGGCAGAAGACTTACAAAACATGGAGCATTATTTTGTACTATAAAGGTGTGGTATTTTTACCTAAGCTTCTTGGCCTACAGCAGTATTGGCACAAACTCCAAGGTACTAGTATGTTCTATGCTGGAAAGCTGCACGTTATGCCTCACTGTCAATGGCAATAGCATTTCCATAGAGAAGAAAGAAAATAAATAAAAGAGAAAGCTAAAATAAACCCCACAGTAGGTATTGAGCATTGACAGATATAGACAAAGATCTATATACATACACAAAGATAGGGAAATCTCAGCTTCCAAGAGTCTTAAATGCTAAGTGGTCTAATCACTCTCTCTTGAATTGGTGCTTTCCACCAGCAGGTTAGGACTGAACGTCTCAGTTGACAAGAGGTACAGAAGGTGCATAAGCTGCTGAATAGAGAAAGTCAAAAGCGTGGACGCATCTTAAGCTCTGTTCACCCTCTCCCTGCCTGTGATGTTGGCTTGCTTTCTGTGGCAGGAGCCCTAAAGCAGCTGGGGCTTAAACTAGCCTAAGTACACTTAGCATGTGCTGGATCTGCAGGTGTCCAGGTTGCAACCAGGCATTTCAAAGGGAATCCACGTACCATTCTCTGTTAGACAGAAAGGCACCTGAATTCTTGGTGTTACAATCTTCAGCACCATAGAACTCAGTTCACTTGTGAATCTTAACTTGCAACCCACCTCCCAGAACGCTGTTGGAGGCAGGACAGCGGCAGTCCTGGTGCCCAGAGTCAGAAGCCACCCTGGATTTCTTAAGTCTGACTTTTTAAGATGTTTTTCATTCAAGGAACTTCCAGCAGAGGTACTTCCTTCTGGACTTCAAGATTCTACTGGCATTACTGTCCAGTTCAGTTTAATCTCACTGAATGTGTTTGATGCCACCCATTCAGATGGCGAACAAACTCTCAAACCTCCTTATTCTACTTCTGCTAGTTCTAGTTATTCCTATTTTAAGGCCAGGTAATTATCTCCTACTTCCTAGTTCTTCTGTTTGTTAAACACAATTCTCATGCAAGCTAGTATCTGTATTTTTTTTTGTTCACCTTCAAACAGCAAAGTTTATTTAAAATACTCCAAAATACAGAGAGTATGTTCAATAGTATTTCTATCTTTTTCCATTTACTTTGCAAACTGATTGAAAAATCCTTAAGAACTCCCTAATCTCCCTCCTGGCTTGCCTTAAATGAAATAGCAGGCCCCTTCATAGCCAACTTTCTCACAGGACAGCAATAGCATTTGAGTGGGTTTGTTTGGACTCCTGCCGGAATACTTTGTTTCACAAAATATACTTAACAGGCTTTCAAGCTTTGGATGTTTCCTTCATTCAGCCATAATCCCTGCTTTTCCTATTAAGGATGTTCCTAGCTTAGTCACAAGTGGCCACTTCTGCTGCACTTGGGCATAGAGTCATTTTGGCTCTGAAATGCAGGCCAGTTTCAAGTGTTTTCTGGGTGTTTTCTGATTATTCTTCTGTTTGTCCAATGCTCATCTTGCTCTGAATATTGACAGTGGATTAGACTGTTTATTTCTTGCATTTGCCCCAGGAACTGGAGAGCTGATGTACATTAATATTCTTAAATCCCTTCCTTAGAATGGCAGTTCCTCATCTCCTCTCTTAATTACAAATCTGTCAGGATTTTTCGGTAATTGCTTGCACTGAACTTAAACCTTTTTTTTTAAGACATTCTGCAGATGTATCCAAGATGACCCACTTACAACACATGCAGTCCCCTAAATGCAGCCACATTTAGCAGTTTTCTGCTTTATGGCTTCAAGAAGCAAACACAGGGGAACTCAAGTGCAACAGTTTTAAGAACACTTCTACTTTATTATGCACGGAAAACATCTTTTGTGAGCCAGGTTTGTTAACCAAGTATTTGAAGCAACTTCACCCCCGCAGAGAAGAGACAAGCTGTGCAACTTGTCCAAATAGCTCTCATCAAATTCTGTCCTTTCCCTCTTTAGCTGGCCAACCCCAGCATCACAAAGTGGACGGACAAAGGCAGAACAGCAAACAAGCAACTGTGACCAAGGAGAACAAGCATGGCTCTGTCTCATCTATGCTCCAGGGCTCTGCTTTTCACTCTGGTGCTATAGGTAACACAATTACAGCTGCTTGCCAATCAAGATAACCTATAACCTGTGCTGCAGCAGAGAACAGGGAGCTGAAAAAGTCTGATGCAGCTGTGTCAGCAGGGCACTGCCCCCAAGAAACCATGGGAGTTGGGGAGAAGGATCAGATTGTACCTCAGCATGCTGAAGTCATTGTCCCCAATCCTAACAAACTCTCCCTGTGGAGGAATACAAAGGACTTTGCTAAACCAGTTTTTACCTATGGGATTATCAATACAAATGGCACATACATCTACGGTGCCAGATCCCAAAAGTAACGACTACATTTTGCAAAGGCAGAGAAGCAGAAAGCGTTCTCCAAAATATTCATTGCTGCAGCTGTAGTACTTGGAGCTTTTCGAAGTGAGGTGAATAGGGTTCAAACAGGAAAAGGTTTGTACTACAGCAGCCAGTCCTTTGGCAGTCCAGTATGTCTAGAAAAGACAGATAATTAACGAAATTACCCAGGCAGATTCTATTCCAAGATAAGTAATCTTTCTAAGGTGATTTAGCTTAGTTCGACTTGTAGTTGTTGGGTGCTTTTTTCTTAATGTTTCAGGTAAAAGCTAGGAAAGGGATCCACCCACAAACCCAAGGAAAAGATCTTCCTGAAGGCACCAGCCAGGAGGAACACGAGCACAAACCTGACGCAAAATTACTGTCACAGTAACCTCACTAAGGAGTGCAGTAAGAGTCTCTCTCTGAAATGAGCTACTGATAAGCCAAAAGATGCTGTTATAGGAGGAAATAAGTAGGAGGAAATAGAAGGAAGACATTTTAAAATGCACTGAAATGGTTATTTGACAGCAAAAACATGAATGCTGAGAGTCTGCAACTGAGTCTGGTTGTCACCTAACTCACACAAAGGGAAACATCCTCTGAAAGTGACTCCTTGCACAGGTAATCCCTAGGTGTGCAGAAAGTCCAGCAGATCCAAGACATGCTGGAGTTGCCACACATGCACAGGTCAAGAGCAGGATGTTTACAGCCAGACCTTGTGACAATAAATAATTGCTCCATACACCCACAACAAGCCCAGGGAACATGACTATATGAGTCTCGTACACAGAGGCAGTTCTGCATGGGAACATATTCTATGCAGAACACATTAGGCCTATCAAAACTGTCTGATTTCAAAAGTGAAACCATCTTTTCTCCACAACTGGAAGTGCCATAGGAAAGCTTGTAAGCCTAGATTTAAATTAGTTAGGTAGAAGCCTAGCTCAATCCCTTCCATTTGAGCAGTTGCTCGAGGTTTCATGCAGCTCAAGGAAGCTACTTCTGTTCACCTGGCTTGAAATAAAACACATGTAGTTCTAGGTATGCTTGTAAACAGGCATTTTCTATCTATTGGTTAATAAAAGAAATCAGCATCTATTGTTTTTCCCCTTTGAAGCATGTTGCCTTTCCCATACCCTTCCACCAGCTTCTGTCTGAACACTCAAGACTGCCAAATATCCTGAAAGAGGTACTCAGCCTGCTCTGGTGCTAGATCTGTGTGTGAAAAGCAGGTTGAAACACTCACCAGGACATAGCAAGTCAGTATCACAAGATCATAACTGTTAGATTGCTTGCACATGCTTTAGTGATTGGCACTTGTTAAACAAAAGGAAAAAAAAAGGCACACAAGATGAGAAGAGGTTATGGAGTTCATTTGTAAAAGATGACATGATTTTATTTCCTTAAAAAGGTATTGGGAAAGCTGTGACAACAGACATATAAAATTATCTTAGTATAAACAACACAGACAGAGAGAGGAAGGTCGCAATACATCATTTGAAATACTTTTTTTTTTTAAACACAAATTTGATAGATTAAACACAAAGATGACAGCCATAAAAACCAAATCAGAACAACCGCTTAAAGCATCCTCCCTACAATAATAAGGATTGGCCAGCCACCGCCTTCTGATAAGAAGCGATATGTATTAGAAAAAAAAAAAAAACTAGTCTAGGAGGCTCTGAGGTGCAACCCCAAGTGTTTTAATCCTCCAAGCTGAGACAGTATTTCAGGTAGGAGCTTGACATTCTGTAGTAGGGAACACAAGTACCCGCACTTCTGAACCTTGACAGACACAGGCTCTGGAAGCCCAGGGATGCTCCACTGCCTCCCAGGTGAAGGAGGAATGCTGACATTTAGGGGCACCTGAAAACACATAGCATATACCTGTAGGTACCCAAGAAGCTTTCAGGTAAAAATGCAGGCAGTATACGGAGTTCAATTTTGGATTTAAACATTTTTCAGGTGGTGGGAGGGGTCTGGCACATCAACACAAGTCTCCCCCCGCCGTGGTAGGTAAGGTAAAGCAGAACTCTTCATCATTTCTTGAAGGAAGTGAAGAGCTGGCAGGAGAGCAGCAGAAGCCTGCCCAGAGGCAGGTCAGCACAGATGCTGCATCTGATCTCGCCGTTATGACACTCGGCAGGACCCATGCTGCCACACTGGCATCAGCTGCATCTGTCAGGTCACCACTTGAAA